AGAAGCTCTGATAAGCTATACATACTGTGATAACAGAAAATAATACAGTTATATACAGTAACCACAGCAATAATCATCATCAAGCCATCAGGATTCAAACTTAGAAAGAGAAGAATAAAGACAGATGGAGAGAAGCTCAGAGCCCTCTGCCTGTTTTGTCTGCTTCACTGTTTCTACTTGTAGCTAACACAAATAATCCCTCTGTGATGGAAGAATAGACGCTTAGTTGATCATCAGCTTTTGACTAACAACTCAGCATAAATGTTCCTTTAAGAAAAAAAAAACTGCAGACGGTTAAAGCAGTGAAGTGACAGGGGAAAGGTGAGCCCTGTGGATAATTAGCAGTTTGCAGAGAAGGAGAAAAGTGAAGAGACAGGTAATTACACATTACTGCAGGTACTGCTTCCTGCTGGGCCTCTGCCAGGTGGATGCTGGCTTTTAAAAATCTGTAGATTAAGATGACGCAACAGAATAATAACTATCATTTAATATAACCATTTGTAGTGATTCTTTGAGCATTTTGCTAATAAACAAATTGATTTCAAATGTTAATATGTTTCAGATCTTGTATAATCAGTGCTCACAGTATGTGTTGGGATTGGTTGAGTAAGATATTTTACCACTGTCAAACACATACTATGCTGTGTTTTACATTCACCAGCAGGCAATAAACATTATCAGTTACCACATAATGCTGATACTGGGAGCATGAAGTGATGAGGCAGATAAATGTATCATCTAAATAAAATATAAGTACTGCATTCAGCCCCCAAATGATCAAGCTACCCATTTAAAAGCTTTACTTTCTGGGCATGGGAGCTAAAGTAGTAATTCAGGTAGTGTTAGAGGCTTGCGGTCCTGTTTTTAATCTCAGAGTATTACCTGTGTCAGGTTTCCTTCACACAATAGGCTAACAGGACAGGGTAGCGCTTACATTATAATTTGACCACAGAAAGTGGCTGGGAAGAAAGTCTGAATGGAATCAGAGAGCATTATGGGAAAAGTAGGAGGTACTGCACTGGGACAACATATAAAGGAGGGCAAGGTGACTTTAGTGCTCTTTAATATGGAGTAGATATGCTGTTTACACAATATTTATAAATATATAAATGTCATGATACGTTCAACTGTGCCTTTAATGTTTTTTAAGGACTTCAAGCTCCTGTGTTCCATCTGAACCAACTTTTCATGATTGTTTTTTGGTGTAGAGGACTTTCAAAAGTATTTTCATTCAGCAGAAAGTAAAATCTTACTGATTAACACATTCATTTATTGCATGTACAGGTGCTGGTCATAAAATTAACTTAACCACCTGCAAAGGCCTTTAAATGGTCTTTCAGTCTAGTTCTATAGGCTACACAATCATGGGGAAGACTGCTGACTTGACAGTTGTCCAAAAGACGAC